CTTGAACAGCATTTTTACCTTTTCAATAGTAAAAAAGTAAAATATGCCGAAAATGCTGCTTTTCACTTTCATATTTGATAGAGCACCAACCAAAAACTACTGCGTAGAATCAATTGAACTTTTTTCACAAGCAAGCCTTGCTATATCAGCTGTCAAAATATGTAATGATTATGCGGCTTAAGTGTGAAGTTGGCTGTGAAAAAATACAATAAGTCCTCTGTTGGGAAAAAACGAAATTACTTTCCGAACAACCTAATAATTATATTATTATATAATTTTATGTAACTAATATAAAATTATATAACTTTGTAAAATATTTTTTCTCCTGAGTGGTAAAGCAAATGAAAGCACTTGTACAAAGTTATTAAGAATTAGAGAAGAAAGATAATTTATAGTATAATTAATAGTAATAAAAAATTAAGTTTCTAATATGACATGAAATAAAATGTATATGTATTTTGTACTTATGCATCTAAAACTTAAAGATACTGTGCCAAAAAATAACTACATATGAATACAAGTATCTCCGCTTATAAGGATCTAGGTAATGCATTTAAGTACAGCTAGATACTTTTATCTAGATACATTCCAACATTGTATTTGACGTATGTATTGAATCATATCTGATCGTTTACAAAAGATATGCAAATCTTATACAAATCTTATGCAATTACATTCCAATTGTATGATTGACGAATTACATACAGGATGTCTATCCATAAATGTTCGAACAAATATGATTGAAATAACTGATTGAAATTGCAAGAAAGTTTAATAAGAGAAATTTGTATGACTCCGAGTCAGCTACAAAGTGCACGTAAAAATTTTTTCTCTATTCATGGGTTTTTCGAGTTATATAAGTTAACATAGTTTTTTTTAAATGGATATCTATAGTTTTTTTTGCATTAATATTTGTATAGTAGGGAGCATTTGCAAAATCAAGATTATATGTAGTAAAAAATTGGTACTATACATTTACGAGACAATCGACATCTCAAGTATCAAAGTAGTAAATTGGATTCTAAGTAATTTTGAACATGGTTTGAAATGTCAAAGAGAGATCGAAGAAGAAAACGAACAATGTTTTTTTATGGAACATTTATTAACCCATAAATTGTTCGAAATTTTCATCATCGTGTTTAATACAACATTTAACGCATTTTATGATGTTTCTCATCGTTAACTGAAGCATTTCTATTGTAATGCCTTTAGCTCTAGTGATTTTATGTCGTAAATCTTCTTCATTTTCCGGAACAGTTACGTAATGTCTTTAATATATCTCCAAAGGAAAAAATCGCAAGATCAAATCCGCTAGATCTCGATGGTCATAATGAAGGGGGCCATTAGTACCTATCCAACGATTAGGGAATCTATTATTTAAAAAGTTGGCTACAGCACGTGTATTATGTACAATTTGTTATAATATTTTTTTAAGAAAATCAATGTCATTGCGATAATTAACTCAAAACCAGTGACAGAACATTAATCAACGATCTGCATCTCCTTCATGTAAAACTTGTATTAAATTATCACAAAACGGTTTGAATTTGTATTTCTTTAATACAGCGTGCACATAACTTCTTGATATTTTTAAATTACGTGCTACTATTCTTATATGGATAGTTTATTTTTAATAAAACTTAATAGCACATTTGTTTCTTTTTCTTGGTCTGTTCTGATTGCACGACGTTGTCTTATTATAGTGATCTTATTCAATGTAATTGATCTTCGACTCACCGAAATTACAACCGTTTGGTATCCTTCGTTCTGGATATTTTTGTTGATACAATAACCGAGCTTTATTTCCATTACGCATATTTAAATGCCACATCTCGAGCATATCACATGTTTTACTAATTGTAAACATTGTTATTTTCATAATCTACAATATGATATGTATTCGTTGAAAAGATAATTGACTGACTGACTAACAGATACTGCACTGAATTTCATATATAATCCATGCTAGACAAATACTTTATTTACAAAACAAGCTGTCGTGTATTTTACAAGCTGAAGGTCAGTGATCCTGTTTGACATAACCCAATTCAAAATATTAGTCTGGATCTTGTTTTTCAAATTGTAATAAATCAATGTCTTAAGATTCAATATTTATGATATCGATTATCTCGTAAACGAGGCATAGTAGCAATTTTTTACTACATATTTTGATTGCAAATGCTCTCTACTATACAAATATGCAAAAAAATTATAGGTATCCATTAAAAAAAACCTATGTTAATCTACATAACTCGAAAAAGCCAAGAGTAGAAAAAATTTTTTACGTGCACTTTGTAGCTGACTCAGAGCCATATAAATTTGTCTTATTAAATTTTCTTGTAACTTCAACCAGTTGCAAGATATTTACTCGGACATTTATGGATGGACACCCTATATATCACGATCAGAAATTAGTAATAGAATCACATACATATATGATATATTTAACATACGAATTTATCGCGTAAGAATCGTATATGATCTCATACAAAGACACATCCATCATATATGATAAATGATCTTACGAAATACATGTTTTGTCAAACATACTTGAAACTAAGAAAAATCTTCAAATATTTGAAATATTTTATATTGATAAATTACATATATACTCGTATGATTATTAGAAACAACAATTAGATTACACATACGTGATGTATATGTATACAGGCATCACACACACATACACACATACACGCGCGCGCGCGCGCGCAATTCAAGACGTTATATTGCATGCAATTTTGTCATATGTCATTTATATATCAGTCATACACGCGCTACAAAATCTTAAGTAATGTATATTATAAATCCTATATGACTCATTAGCATATCACATATGATAAAATCATACGTGATACTCTTATGAGTCATATAAGATTTATAATATACTTGAGATTTTGTTGCGCGTGTATGATTAATATATGAATGACATACGAATGATATGTGAATCGTATGACTATTAGTATCAACATATCATTTTGCCATATGATCTTATCATATTCCTATAAGCGCAAAATATTCCTTTTTTAGAATGTTATATAAATATTATTAAAAAAATTAAAATAAGTTATTATATTTTGAGAACATTGTATAATATTTTTTTAATGTTATAAGAGTATATTTTATGGATGTTATATCTACTTATATAAATATGCTTATTATATATATTTTATTTAACATTCTTGAAATATATATTAAAATATTTATTAATTATTTTTGTATTAGTGCAGTTTGAATTCACAATCCAATAACGAAAATATCTTATCAATATATGCTGTGTCTTGTGCTTAAATAACGTTTTGATGTTATTTTACGTACATCCAGTCTTACAATTGCACGTCAAAATTATTTTCAGTCTTTAAACATATATTTAAACTGAACCGATGTAACAGTTTCACAAATTAAAGTAAATGTTGTTATGATACTTTTTAATTTTCATACAATATTACAGTAAATAATGTTACTTTTAATAATCATGTAATATTATTAGGAGTGGACATATAACCATCCATTAATATTTCAAGAATATTATTTAATATTATATAATTTCAGTAAAACATATTTCAAATGTTACGTTTAATATTCTGGAAATATGCCTAAAATATTATTTAATATTAAATAATATTATGTGCCTATAGGGATGTGACTTTCACCGTGATCGAGCGATTTCTGTTAGTGCAATTTTTTTTTTAATCTTTCAGTAATTATAAATTATACTATGTTTTGTTATATTTCATGGAGTTTCAATATTTATTTTAGAAAGTTGAAAGTATGTTGGTGAATTTTTAAAGATTTTTTTTAACCATCCCAAGTAGCACAGCAGCGCTTGCAAAACGATTATATGCGCATTTTTGGCGCTTTATTAAGCGCTTTGTAAGCGCTGTGTGCTATAATAGGATTCTGAATAGATGAAAAAAACAGAACGGATTCTAGTGATCCATGTTTGAACGAATGAGACATCAAATTGTATCTTGTATTGTAAGAGTTAATATTTTGTTTAAAAGAAATCTTATCTCGTACATAATGTGCGTAACATTTATTCGCGGTGTGACCGTACTTTATTCCATTTATGTGCGAATATGCAATTCACGGGTCGTGACACGCGATAACAAAGATATGATATGTCGTTCGTTTTAGCGTTATTATCTATCAAAAATGCTTGACGATCGTTGGCGGGAAAATGCGATCAGCGTCTTTACGATTGTTCCGGCTTTCATTTTTCGGATTCTAATTGGTGCTGATGTATTTCGTTTGCATTTTAGGCCACGAAAAGTGTATGTTTCATCACGATTTGGAGTTGGACCACCGACCACCTACGCGGGAGTCGATGATACCGGAAATGTCTCGAAGTTATAAGCTGCTCCTGAGTTCATTGGGCGAAGATCCGGAACGACAGGGACTTCTGAAAACACCGGAACGTGCCGCGAAGGCCATGCTTTTCTTCACGAAAGGATATGATCAAAGTCTCGATGGTAAGTTATTATTGTTATTACACACACATATATATATTATTAAAATATTTCTTGCGAGCTCTCTCTTAATTTAATACTTTTATTTAATTTGTTTTGTATCATGACATAGTATATCAATAATTAATTTAATCTTATTGAGATAATTTTGAATGTCGTTTTACTTATACATCAAAAATTAAAGAAGCTGTAAAAAAATGAAAACTTCTTAAAATTAATCGCAATTAATTGTTCTTCACAATACGTTCACAATACAAAAAAAAATAATAGTCGAAATTGTTAGAACGTTTACTAGAACGTTTAGAATTATTTAAACTGCTCTCCTTTCGAATTGACACTGGAAATGTTGCAAAACTAATATGCTTGCGGATGTATAAGCGCAGAAAAAAAGAAATAGTGCAGCCTTGATTTGAAGGTCGGCTAATACAAGGTTACACTTGATCCGTGTAGTATGAATTCTACAAGCGGCAATTACATGTGATTGCGATCCATCGTTTATTGCTTAACAGCAATGGCTGCCGATCGTCTGGTGGTCGCCATTTCTGCAAAAGCTTCCTATAGTTATGATAAGGAATGTTACATTTCGAGTCGTTTTACAATCAGCGATTATTGAAATAGCCTTACTTCCTGAAAAAGTGCTCTTAATTTTGGTACATTAGTCAAGAAATATATGTTATCACAGATTGGCTAATTTAAGACTTTCGACATAAATACATATGTTGTCATTGTGTTACAACATCAGGGAAAATTTCTTCTAAGTTGGAATTTTTTGTAATATATCCATTATTAACAATTATATTAATAGTATGCGCGCTTATAATAAATAGTGTTAAACTATTAGATGGTAATGGTTACTTTTTCAAGTAATTTTGAGCAATCACGAAAGGAGAGAGTAAGAAGAGAGGAGGAGAGAGAGAGGGGGGAGAGAGAGAGAGAGAGAGAGAGAGAGAGAGAGAGAGAGAAAAACAGAGGCAGTTCTCCATTAATTGAAAATGGAAAAAACCCAGAACCTATTAGCCTCTGCGATGGACATTAATTACATCAAAGTCAAAAGTACAATTTACGAAGATAATAAAGTAATTAACTAGGAAATCATCATGTGATTTAACCAGATTTCTTTTATTACGACTAATATAGTACAAAATTATAGAAGTGCGTCTGCATTCTGTAAAAAAGTACCACACTTTTCATCTTTTTTTTCTTTCAACTTGCTCTCTATGGCGAGCAGAATGAAGAAGCGGGGGAGAGAAAAAGAATGGAACATTGAGAGGGTAAGAGGGTGGAACTTAAGTGCGACTCGTAGAAAAGAGAGCGTAAAGCTCTCGGGATAAATGGAGTTCTCAGGGACGCACGAGGCACAACTTGAAAAGAAAATCCCCTTCATCTTCTTCCTCCGTGTCACGTACATCCAATATAAATGTCACGATGATTGAACAATTACGTGGTTTTGCGGAGATTCGGAGAAAAGTTTGCCCATATCATCAAGTTGACACGGAGAACAAATTCTTTTTCTTATTTGACGATTTCATTCTCGCAATTTGTGTACCTAAAGGAATTTAGCACGATATGCTGAATAGCATTTTATTATGTAACGGCTTTCGAAAAATATTTAAATGCGCATTTACTTTTAATTAACAGTATATTAAAAAATGGATAGAAGAGATAGAGATTTAATTCGTATAAAATCTTTAATGAATGAAACGAGAAAATTTTC